CGCCGAAGTTTGTGCCCAGGGTTGACGACCTGCGCCGCCTGCAGCGTTGCGTCCCCCTGGAAGAGGGAGACGGCGGCGTGAGAGAGGGGAGCGAGGGGTGGCCGGGGGCGAACGGGGCGGCGGGGAGGACGAGGCGCGCAGTGCGACGCGAGCGAAGGGGTGGGAGGTTGCGGCTGCGCGACGGCGGGAGGGCGAGAGCGGGGCGAGGGGCAGCTGCGGCGTCAGGCGCGGGCGGGCTGTCGTCCGCTCGCGCGCGCGGCGTGGCGGCGGAGGGCGGTGCGCGGAGAGGCGGCGGGAGGGCGGCGCCTGCAGCGTGCCAATGACCTCGAAGTGCCCGCTCCCGACGAGGCTCGCGTCGAACTCTGCCGCGAGGCTCGCGTCGTTGAAAACCACCGCCGCCGGCGCGCCGCCGCCCGACATCTCGAGCTGGGCGCGGTCGCCCTCAACGCTGAGCAGCTTGCCCGTCACGCGCACCATGCGGCCGCTGTGCTGGCCAGAGTGGTAGTCGGTGGCGTCGACTCTGGGCGTGGGCGGCATAGTGTGGTTGGAGCGCGGCAGTGGTTGTTGTGCCTCCCGCCAGAAACAGGGAAAAGAATTCTCCCGCCTCACGGCGTCCATAGACACCTCACTAGACCCCACATACGGTCTCGTCCGTGCCTCGAAGGCCGGTGAGATTGCTGGAGGTGGAGCAAGCTGCTCTAGCCTCACATGTCACTTCTTGTCGTCTGTTGTTTGAGTTGTGCCCTTGTTTGTGCCCTTGGCACCGTGGAGTGCTGGGGGGGGCGACAGGGAGGATGTGGCCCTGAGTTATGTGTACGCCGACTCAGGGTGTGTGGCAGCCAGCTGGCTGTGTGTCTTGTGAGCCTGTTTGTGTCTGTGTGTCGCTCGTGCGTGTCGTCATCATCTGTCCAGCGTGATGTCCAGCGTCCACCCATACCGCGTTGGTGTCCAGTCCGAGCCTGGCTGTTCTTCACCTTTCTACCTACCTACCTACAGCACACTGCGAGAAGCGGCGAGAGACTGCGAAAAGAGATAGGAAGAGGCAGACTCCCTAGGGTGGGCGACGGCTAGCGCATCACACCCCTCTCCTTAAAATCCCTGTGTGGTGGCGGCGTGCCGTCCTCCCATCCCTCCCTTGGGTTGTCTGTTTTCTTTCTTTCTTTCTTTTAGCACACTGCGAAAAGAGATAGGAAGAGGCAGACTCCCTAGGGTGGGCGACGGCTAGCGCATCACACCCCTCTCCTTAAAATCCCTGTGTGGTGGCGGCGTGCCGTCCTCCCATCCCTCCCTTGGGTTGTCTGTTTTCTTTCTTTCTTTCTTTAGCACACTGCCACCCATTGGGTGTCGCGGGATCCTCTTTCTGTCCTTTTAGAGCCCTCCTTCTCGGGTTTGGATATCCACCCACTTGGCTGCCTGTGCGAGTATGCTCGACGGCAGCCCGCTCAGTATGCTCTCGGCATTCTGTACAGCCTCGCCAGGCTCTGACTCTGTGACGGCCTGCAGCGTGCAGGGCCGGCGCGGACCGCCTTGGGCGCGATGGCCCTCCTCAGTACCTACCTCTTCGATGCCTGTCGGCTCTCCAATCTCGTCGCCGGCGGCAGGCCCGCATGGCGCGCTGCTCGATGGCAGCCTGCTCAGTGCCTCGCTGCTCTTTCTTACTGCAGCCGCCCTCCGGGCCGGCGCCGGCCGCCTCGCTTCGCCAGTGCTGTCTACGCCTGCGACACGCGTGTCGACAGGCGAGGCGCGGGCGACGGCTTCCTCAGAAGCCGTCGCCAGAAAAAAGAACATATAGAGGGAGAATCGGGGTTTTAAAAACAAGAACCGAAAGAACAAGGAAAAGAAATCGCGCGGGGGCAAGAATTTTACCAAAAAGAATACAAAAAAGAACACAGACACGAAGAAACGGAGTTTTAAAAACAAGAACCGAAAAGAACAAGGAAAAGAAATCGCGGCGGGGCGGAGGAAAGATTTTTTTCCCCGCTCCCTCAGAGAGAGAGTTGTCATCACGACGCCGCGTGCCTTGCTCGGAATCGTTTAGCCAAGGCGGCGCGCGCTGACCGTCCGAGAGAGGAGGGTGAAGGGAGCAGAGGTATTGCAAGGAGGGCCTTACGAATTTGTGGAAACTACGTGAAATTCCGAGCAATCAGCTTTGGACGTTCCCGGTTGGTTGACGGACCGCCAAATGGAAGGCAACCAAGGCGGCCCAAGGGCGATGGCCTCGACCTTCAGCTCATCCTCGTCCGACGGCGACAGCCGCACTGCCCCACTCGACGGCCTCCGCGTCGTCGAGATCGGCTCCTTCCTCGCCTGCCCGCTCACCGCGCGGCACCTCCTCGACCTCGGCGCGTCAGTCACGGCCGTGGTGCGACCAGAGTCCGCTCGGGGGCAGCGCGCTGAGCAGGCGTGGCGGCCAGAGACGACGAGGGCATTGAGGAGTGGCAAGGACGTCGTGACCCTCGACCTCAAGTCGCCGGCCGGGCAGGAGGCGCTCGACGAGCTCCTCGTTGCGGCCGACGCTGTCGTCATCGGCTTCGCTCCAGCGGTGTGCCGCCGGCTCCGCCTGACGGCCGAGCGGGTACATGAGGTCAACCCTCGCGCCGTGCTTGCTCACCTGCCCGGCTTTGCGACGGGCGACGCGGAGCGGAGCAAGATTGAGGCGTGGGAGGCGTCCATCCTCGCAGAGGCCGGCGTCTTCCGAGACATGGGCATCAACCGCCAGCTCGCTGGCAAGCTCGCCTCGTACTCGCCTCTGCCTCTCGCATCGTCGTACGCCTCCATCTTTGCCGCCCTCGGGGTCGTGTCTGCTCTGCGCAAGCGCACGACTCTGCCGCCCGGCGCGGCGCCGCGGCTCTCTCTGGAGGTGCCGCTCGAGATGAGGCTGGCCGAGATCCCGGCTGCACCTCGGCCACACCTCCGTCTCACCTCGCGGCTGCCGCCCTCCCTCCCAGGTGCCCCTCGCCTCCGCGCTGTGCGACGCGCTGGTGCACAACTCGCTGCAGCACGAGGTGCCCGAGGAGTACCGCTCGCGCAGGCAGCGCGCCCTCGACAAGCAGCGGGCCGGCGAGCCGCTCGACTACTTTGAGACGCTCGAGCTGACGGACCCCTTCTTCTCGCACTACACCACCGCGGACGCGCGACCCTTCTACCTCGTCGCGCCCTGCCACCTCCGCCACCAGAGGCGCGCGATCGCCGTGCTCGGGATCGAGAAGCAGGTCGCCGCCCTCGGCGTCCCGCTCGCCGCCACGTACGCCGCGTCGGCGGTGGGCGCGAACGCGCCGCGGCACGGGTTCGGTGCCGGCCAGATCGGGGACGACTGGGCGCCGAAGCTGCGCAAGCTGATGCGGCGCGCCTTCCTCACTCGCACCGCCTACGAGTGGGAGGCCGCCCGCTGGCGCCGCGGGCGTGGAGCGCTGGGCGGCCCTTCCCTGAGCCTCGGCCGGGTCCTCCCCTAGGCCGCCTTTGGCGCGGCTGGCGTGCCCGGCTCGGCGCACCGCACCACCGCAGAGTGGCTCACCTGCCCGCACGCGCGCGCCGCCGGCCTCGTCCGCGAAGACGAGAGCGGCGCCGTCTCGCCCGCGGCGATGACGTGGGTGGTGCAGCAGGAGCTGCCGCCGCCGCTGCCCTCGCCGTCGCTGCCCAGCCCTTGCAGGTCGCCAGAGGGCCGGCCGTCGTCGGCGGACGCGGCGCCGCACTTCGGCGGAGGGGCGGGCGGGGCGGGGCGGCCGGCGGCGGTGCGTCCGGCCGCCGGGTGGGCGACCCGCGCCGAGGCGGCGCCCGCCGCGCCGCCCCCGCCTCCGTCGCCGGCGGCAGCGTGGGAGGGCGGCCGGTCCGGCGGGGGCTGGATGGAGGGTGTCGAAGTGCTCGACCTCTGCAACGTGATTGCCGGCCCGACCATCGGCACGATGCTCGGACATGTCCCGGACATGTCCCGGACATGTCCTCCAGGTGATTGCTGGCCCAACCATCGGCACGATGCTCGCGCGTTTCGGCGCAAAGGTGACCAAGGTGGACTCGCCGCGCCCAACCTACTCGCCGGAGATCACCGTCCTGTACGGCCTGGCGGCCAACGCCGGCAAGCGCTCCGTGCTGCTCGACGTGTCGCCCGCCGAGGCCGCGGGGCGGGCCGCCTTTGAGGCCCTCGCCGCGCGCGACCGCTCCGGCGCTCTCTCCAGCGGCGTCGCTGCACAGTGCTTGGCCGTGAGTAGGCCCTCGTGGCGCGCGTGGACGTCGTCGTGTACAACGGCACCTCGGACGCGCTGGAGCGGCTCGGCATCACGCCTGCCGAGCTCCACCGGATGAACCCGAACGTCGTCCTCTCGCGCTTCGACGCGTACGGCGGCCCGAACGAGGGCAAGGGCGAGCGCGCGGACCACATCTCGTACGACGACAACCTGCAGGCGGCCCTCGGCATCATGGAGCGCTTCGGCGGCGGGCTCGGCCGCGTGGAGGAGCGACGCGCACGCCGTCGGCACCCGCAACGCGCACGACCGCGTCCGTGACATGTCCACGGCCCGCCCCGCAGGAGCACGCGCACGTCGGCACAATCGACGTCGCGGCGGGCGTCGCCGGCGCGCTCGCGACGGCCGCGACGCTGCTCTTGCGAGAGCGGCGCGCGACGGGCGAGCTGCCGCCGGCGCCGCCCCGCTCCCTCCTCATCGCGCGCGCCTCGCTCGCGTCGGTCGGCCAGATGGTGCAGTTCCCGTTCTGCTGCGGCCCGCCGGCCGCCCTCGCGGCGGAGGGGGACCGCTCGGTGGACACGCCGCTCAACCGAGGCCCCGAATGCCGTGGAGAGCACTCGCTGCTCCACTGCTACTCGACGGCCGACGGGTCGTGGCTGCTCCTCGTCGCCTCCCTCCTCCCGCCTTTGAGGATGGGCGAGGACGAGCTCAAGACGGTGCCGCGCAACCTCTCGCTCGCCTCCTAGCCCTAGCCCTGAGCCCTGAGCCCTGAGCCCCGAGCCCCGAGCCCCACCCCCATCCCTACCCCTCAGGTGCTGCGCCACCTCTCGCTCGCCGACGGGCGGCTGCACGCGGCGCTGCGGCCCGCACTCGAGCGCGGCGTCGGCGGCGTGAGCGACGCGGCGCTCGAGGCCGCGGTTGGCGGCGCGCTGCGCGCGGGCCCCTCCGCGTCGTGGTGGGCCGAGCGGCTCGGCGCGGTCGGTGTGAGCGCGGTGCCGCTCGCGTCCTTCGACGTGCTCCGCGAGAGCAACATCCTGGCGGCGGAGGACTGCACCGTCGACCTCGGCGGCTCCACCTTTCAGTTCCTGCGCCACGGGTCGCACCCGCTCGGCTCGCCGCTCGTCATGTTTGCGCCGTGCTCCGTCCGGACGCCCGGCGGGCGCGGCCTCGCCGTACCGCTCGAGGACGCGCCGCGCTACGGCGAGACCGCGCGCTCGCGGTGCGGCGGCGACTTGTGGGCAGCGTCCCTTCACACCTGCCGGCTGCGAGCAGGCGAGCACACGCTCGAGGTGCTCGGCGAGCTCGGCGTCGACCCGACCCTCCTCCTCTCGCGCCACGCCGCGGCCACCGGCTGGTGCGACGACTACCTGCCCGGCAAGGCGTCGCAGACGCTGCCCGACATCCCCCGGCCGGTGCTGAAGACGTGCCCCGTGTGCCTCGACCCGATCAAGCGGCACGTCGGGCTGGCGTGCTCCCACTGGCTCTGCCACGACTGCGCGGTGCGCTGCTCCAACGCGGGGCTCGCCTCGTGCCCCGTCTGCCGCCACCCGCAGCTGCTCGACCCCGTCCGCCTCGCTCGCCGCTCGGTGGAGTGGCGCGCCGCCTACGGCTCGTGGCGGCAGGGCGGCGTGCGCGGCTCCAAGGGCGAGGCCTCCTCGATCAGCAGCGCCGCGCAGGCGCCGGCGCGCTCCCTCGTCACCTCGGCGGCGGGGGACCTCGCCAAGGGCTCCTTCCGCAAGTGGAGCGGCGCCAGCCTCGCGCACAGCTCGCCGATCCGCGCGATGAAGTCGTGCGCCGCCGGGCTGAGTCTCGCGGAGGTGCGCGAGCAGGAGCTGCTGCGCCGGCGCGACTCGGACGCCTCCTCGGCCCGCTCCTCCGCCCGCCTCTCGGCCGGCTCGGGCCGCTCGCCCGGAGCCCCTCGCCCCGCCCACGAGCTGCGCGACTCGCTGGGCAGCGAGGCGCCCGGCCGGCCGGCGATCGCGCTCCTGTAGCCTCGGTCGTGGGCGACTGACCCCCGGCGTATCGCTTCTCAGGTGCCTACCCGGCCGGCGTCGCGCTCCTAGGAGCAGCGCCGCCCCGCAGAGAGGCCTCGCCCGGGTGCCTCTCGCTGCGCCAGGCCTCGCCCATCGGCGCCTGCCGGTGGCCGCTCCGGGCGCCACCACCTCTGCCGGTCTCCTCCTATCCTCTGAGTGCGATCGGATGGAGAGGCGAGGCCGGTGGTTAAAAGATGAACATGTGTGCAATAGACTTGTGGTGCTGTGCAGTGCGTGTGCAGTGCGCGTGGTGGGAGAGGGTGGGAAGGGCCCACTGCGGAAAGTGTCCAGTGCGCGGCGGCTCGCGGCGGCCATGCGTCCTCTAGAGTGCGATCGGATGCCGACGTCGGAGCAGGGGCCCCTGTCAGAAGTGATTCAGGTGTGAGTTGGAGGGAGGTGCGCGTACTCTACAGTGTGTGCAGTGCAGGGGAGACATGTGGCTGGGTGGGGAGACGAGAAGGGTGTCGCCGATTAAGAAGACGCTCTAGCCTGCCTCTCACTGGGAGTCCTCTTGTGTGGAGAAATTTACCTTAAACCTTACCTCTTAGTCCTCTTGTGTTGACTGAGAAGCCGCCGTGTGCACAGTGCGGTAGCACAAGAAAAGAGAACACTTGTGTGCACCGCTCACTTTCGAGGGCAATCTGTGTGAATGGAGAGCTGAGGATCCTCCACGTCGGCGCTGTGGCCTCGTCCGTTCTCTGTACCTCCAGCAGTGAGAAAGCGAGAATTTTACAGACCTCCCTCGCATGACACTGGGCACGGGAAAAGAATTTTACAAGGAAACTCCCTCGCACGACACTAGGCACGGGACAAGAAAGAAAGACAGCAGCGAACCCAAGGGAGGGATGGGACAGCGTTTTCGACGGGGAGCTCCTCAACTCTGAGCACTTTGGAGTGCGGTCCTCAGCAACCTCACATCCAGGGCGGGGGAGCTATGAAGCGCACCCAGGATCGGCATCGCGAAGCAGAGTTCGCACTTGGAGCACTTCATGGAGTGCAGTCGGTAGCCGCACGCCAGTTCGCTCGGCGGATTTTTTTGAGCTTAGCCTTCGATGTTATGAAACAAACGCAAGGCGGACGTGGCATATCGCTCTCGGGCCCACAGACATCCCGCACACCCGCCGGCCCCCGCGCGCGCCCCACCCCGGCCGGGAGAAAGAGGAGTGACAGCTTTTGCGGGACGGCAACCGAACGCGTATCTTGCACTCCATGTGCAAGAAGCAGAGAGAAATGAAAGCCGTCCGGCCCCCAAGTCCGGCTCACGCGCCCCGACTGACCGATCTACCGCACTGGCCACTTCCGCCCCCTCGCTCCCAACCCATCCACCTCGCCTCGGGCCGCGCCGCGCGATCTCGGGCGATCTCGCGCGATCTCGGGCGATCTCGGGGCCGCGCCGCGCTATCTCGGGCGATCTCGGAGCGTCGCTCGCGCGGCGGCACACCTGCTCGAAAAAGGAAGGGCCCGGTTGGAGCCACGGGGCTCACGTGCTCGCTCGGTTCTCGCCGCCTCACTCTGCGCCACTTTTGTTTGAGGCGTTGGCGCGCGGGGCGGCGCCCCGCGCGGCGCGTTCATCGCCCTCCACGCCGACCCCTGCGCGCACCGCTCATGCGCACCAGAGAGAGAGAGAGAGAGAATTCTTGATACGAAACCACGACGACACACACCAGTCGACTCGCATCGGTTGCCTCCATGAACGGCGGAGCTATTCTCGCGCCCACACCACACCTGGCTCCAACGTGGACACGCCCATAGCTGGGGACACTACTAGGTCACGCATGGCATCAGAAGTTTTATCTCTGGGCCCCGAAAGGCATCTCTAGCAGCGTCGTTACGCATGCGCCCTCCCCTCCTGGGCGCATACGCCTCACGTCTCGACAGAGCATAAGCCCTTGGTGTGCCACGAGACGAGTTTTTCGCCATCGCCGCGAGCAGCAAGCCGCCCGCCGCAAACAGCCGGAGGCATCGCCGCAGCACTGTCTGCGCTGCGCTCCCGCACCCGTCGACGAAGCTCCCCCCGCGGAAGACCGCGCGTAGCGACGCCTTGTCGTTCGAGATGAGCGCGCTTGAAGCCCGCCCACCTACTGCCCCTGAGAGTTGGTTACCGAGTGGGATCAGCTCCCCCCCTTGGGATCGAAGCTTCCACGACCTCGCACCCAACACCACAGGCGGGATCAGAGAGAGACTCCGCACCGGACACCGCCCGGGCACAGACCCCCTACCCGTCGGACAATGCCTGGACCCCTCACAGAGCGGCCCACACACAGATCACGCATCGGCAGATTTCACGCCTGGATCAGGCGTAGACAGCACACACTTGTCACGGTTGCATAGCCCTGCCGGGGGGGACGAGTTCGCAAGGTTAATATTAAAAGCATACAAAGTGGTGACAACCACTGAGTTCTCAGTGGACGAACGAGCGTCGACCGAACAGAAGAGCGTCCCCACGACGCCTCGGTGCCTCCCACCGGTGTGGAGACCATCCGGATCAGCCGGGTTCGCCCTCCGGACGGACCCGTTCCCGCGATGGCCCACAGTCTCTCTCTCTCTCTCTCTCTCTCTCTCTCTCTCTCTCTCTCTCTCTCTCTCTCTAGGTAGGTAGGTAGAAAGGTGAAGAACAGCCAGGCTCGGACTGGACACCAACGCGGTATGGGTCTCTCTCTCATGCACTTGGAGCACTTGGAGTGCAGTCGGCAACCTCACATCCAGGGCCGGTGAGCTGAGAAGCGCATCCAGCGGGCCGGATGATTGGCATCGGGTTGCGGGCAAGAGAGCCCTAGCCCCGGGGGTGCGCGTTCGCAGGGCAAGGGCTGTAAAGTAAACACGGGTCTCCGAGGGTTAGTCCGCGCTCCAGGTTTCCCCTAGCAGCGGAGCGCCCCCTCGGATGCATGTTTTCTTTCTTTTTCTATTCGGAGCCAGTGATACGAGAATACGCACATGTTACAGGAATACACACTGCCCCCACGGAGTACCTGCACTACTCGACGATAATACAAGAAGAATACGCAGCTTGGAAGTTGCAGACGCCTATAAAGAAAAAACAGCAAGCTGAATTTCGGCGGCGAAAAAGCAAAGGACGGGCGCTTTTGATCGGCAAAGCAAAGTTGGAGTAACGGCGACCGCGTCGTCACAATGTCAGTCGCCTGTCGAGCAGCCTTGGCGGCGCGCATGCGCCGCAGGGTTGACCGACAGCCGCGCGCCTCGAGCCTCTCGCTCCACTCGCGGCACGACGCGCCCCGCGCGCCGGTCAGCGCAGCAGGAGTATTGCGACATGCTGCACAACGCCAAGGACAGCACTGAGAAGCTGGCGCCAGTCGCCCACCAGCATGTCTCAGCACCAGGTGAGGGAGCATGCTGCGCACGCTGATGCAGCAGGGGGTAACCACCAATCAGGCCCTCACGCCACTGCACGGCCGCCCTCGAGCACCAGCAGCCGCGCTGCGCCATGCTCAAGCTCAGGAGGCCACCCTGCTTCACGCAGCTTTGTGCAGCGCAGCGAGCGAGCAGCGCCGCACCAGGCGGACCCATGGCGTGCTCAGCCAGCCGCGAGGCGGAGGCAGGCCGAGTGAGCGCGAGCCGCGCGGGAGGCCATGCCCCGCGCACCGGCGAGCGAGTGGCACGAAAGAGTGCAAATCGCGCATGCTTTTGCGTAACGGTAGAGAGAGTTCCATGCGCACCCTATTTTTTTCGGGTGCCCATTCCGATATGCCTCTCCTCGTCGGCCTCCTTCGCTTCGCCGCCCTCACTCTCCCTCCGCCCGCTCTCACTGCACGCCGCTGCTCTCCTCCGCGCCGCTGCTCGCCACCATCAATGGCCGACGCGGAGGCGGCTAGGGCGGAGCGTCTCCGCGCGCTCGGCTTCGACTACCAATCGGAGCTCTCGCGCGTCACGAGCGTGAAGCAGCCCGTCAAGCAGCCTCCGCCTCCAGAGTGGCTCGCCGAGGCCAACGCCGCCCGCCGGTACGAGCTCTGGCTCGAGGAGGGAGGCGCTCGCTGCGACGCGGTCAACGTGGTTCCCGCCGGCGACGCGGAACGCTTCGCGCTCGTCACTTCCGGCGCCGTCGCGGAGGGGAGCACGTTATTCGAGGTGCCGGCGAGCATGCTTCTCACTGCGGACGTGGCACTTCGCGACAGGACCGTTGGCCGTGACCTCTCCCTCGCTACGGCTGTGAATGAGTGACTGACGGCTGGTTGCTACGGCAGGACGATCGGCCGGGACCTGTCTCGCATCGAGCAGCAGCAGCGGCAGCGGGGTGGCGCGTCGGCGGCGGACCGGACGGGCTTCGAGACGTTCGCTCTCGCCGCAGTGCTCGCGGCGGAGCGCGTGCAGCGCGGCGCCGTGCGAGGGAGGCTGCGGCGGCAGGCGTGCTGTGGGCGTGTCCCTCACACACCTTGACATGACCCTGACACGTCCCTGACACGTCCCTGGCTGCGGCGGCAGGATGGCGGCGTGCTCGGCGGCGGGAAGGCCTCCTCCTGCGGCGAGGAGGGCGAGCTGTGAAGGGCGCCTCTTCAGCTGTGGGGTGGTGGCGGTGAGCAGGTGCCTCCCCGGTGGGAGGTCTATTAGTTATTCACTTTGGACTACCAATGATTCACTACTAATTACAGGTGCTTCCCCAGTGGGAGGTCAAGGACGAGCTCGGCGAGAAGGCGGGAGATGCAGCCGGGATGCAGCCGAGATGCAGCCGAGATGCAGCCGAGAGAGACAGCCGAGAGGCAGCCGAGAGGCAGCCGAGAGGCAGCCGAGAGACAGCCGAGGGGCAGCCGAGGGGCAGCCGAGGGGCAGCCGAGGGGCAGCTGAGGGGCAGCCGGCCGAGGGGCAGCCGAGGGGCAGCCGAGAGGCAGCCGAGGGGCAGCCGAGAGACAGCCGACGATATCATCTGTAGGCGGGAGGGCGGCGCTGGAGCCCGCTCGTCGCTTCGCTGCAGTGGCCTGCCGAGGAGGAGAGCTGGGCAGTCGCGCGCTGTAGCTCGGCGGTAGCTCGGCGGTAGCTCGGCGGTGTCTCGGCGGTCTCTCTGCCGTATCTCTGCATCTCGGCTGTACCTTGTCGAGAGCCCGGTAGTTGCACCGCAAGGGCGCACGTCCACGACACGCCCGCGACACGTCCACGACATGTCCACCCGTGACACGTCCACGACACGTCGCCCCTCAGGAGTGCCTGATCGAGGAGGGGCGGGCGGAGGCTGTCACCGCCGGCGCCTCCCTCGCCGCCCTGCGGGAAGGGCGCGGTGACTGCTCTTAGCGAGTCGAATGCTGCCCTCAGGCGCCGCCATCATCGCGCAGCTGGTAGAGCCGGTGGCGCGCAGCGCGTGGATGCGGACCACGCAGCGCAGCGGCGTGGCGCAGGCGAGGAGGAGGAGAGGCGAGGCCCGTGCCGGCGACGTGTGCAGGACACGACACGGCCCCTGTCAGGCGACCAGCGAGGAGGATTGCGGCTGCACGGCCGTCCAGGCCCGCTCGCTGCGGGAAGGCGCCTCCGACCCGTCGACTGACTCCTCGACGGGTGCTTTGCAGGCTCTGCTGCTGGCGATGGAGGCGCAGTTCGGCCCTCCCCCCCCTCTCGACAGCGCGTCGGGGGAGCGGCGGTGGGGAGGAAGAGGCGGAGGAGGCGTCGCCCTCTGCCCTCTCGCCAACCTCGCGGCGCCTCTCTCCGAGAGGACGCCTCCTCGACACGTCCCGTGGACACGTCAACGACGCGTCCACGGCGCGTCCAGCAGGTGCTGCCGCGCGAAGACGCCGCCGCCGCCGCCGCAGCTGGGGCAGTGAACGCGCGGCTGGGCCGTCCCCCGGACTCGTCCGGCAGCGACGGCGCTCTGCGGCGCGTCGCCACACGCCGTTTGCCACCCGGCCCAACCAGCTCATTGATGGCGATGCGCTCCTCATCGACTCCTGTCCACCGCTATCGACTAGGTGCGTCGCGACTCGCGATTTGCCAGCCGGCGCCCTCGTGATCGCTGCCGACTACCGGGAGGAGGTGGAGGAGGCGGAGGCGCGAGCGGGGGAGGAGGAAGAATCGCGTCGGTTTGGCGACGCGTCGGAACGCGTCCATGGCATGCCCGAGGCTTGGTTATAGGAGAGGCCTCCCGCGGCAGGCGACTATTAATTGTTAATCATTAATTATCAGTTATTAACTATTAATTATAGGAGCGGCCTCCCGCGGCAGGCGACCGGGTGACGGTCGTGTCTGGCGCGCTGAGCGGGCGGGCGGGCGTGGTGGCGCGGGTGCGGGAGGAGGACGCTGCGGCGGTGGTTCGCTTCGACGGGTCGCGCACCGCTCGTGCTGTCGCTACAGGGAGCTTTCTGGTGGAACCTTCTTGGAACCTTCTTGTAGGTCGGACAAGCTCGTGGTTCTGGCGCCGAGCAAGCTCCGCGTGCAGGGCGCGAGGCCGCGCCGCAGCCAGCTGATGTAGGCAGAGGCGTCTGGTCCTCGCCTGGTCGTGTGACTGTCGAAACAATCTGTGCGTGTCCACAGACGCAGCGGCTACGCGACCCCGGGACCCCCGGGCACCACGGCGCCCCTCGGCCCTGCACATTGTGAATCTATGAGGTAAGGTAAGGGGTAAGGTAAATTTCTCCACACACACAAAGTGGTCTGAGGGGTGGCCCGTCTACCGTCTACCGGTAGTAGTGGGGGAATTTACGGGGTGTGGACCCTGAGTTGAACAGGGGTTGTGCGCCAAGCCCTCCTGCTCGGCTCCAGCGAGTAGACAAGTGTTACCATCAACAGAGGAGAAGGATCTGACCTCAGGGCTGATGTGACCAAGCGCTGGTAGCGTGGTTTTACCTCACACCCATGGTCTCACAGTGTGCCGGCAGTCGCCGAGCAGTGTCGCTCACACAAGCCGCAGCACAACTGACTGAGGGCCAGTGAGGGCGAGCCCATCGCTGTGACAGCTGTGGCAGCCGCACAGTGGGCTGTGCCATCTGTGCAGAGTGTGTGAGCAGCAGAGGAGCTTCACTCCAGGCTTCAGGCGCAAAGAGCTGCATGCCACCGAAAGCGCTGTCGAGGTTCGCCGAGCGCGGCGAAATCGGGGGACACCGTCACCGACGAGCGCGTTGGAGTATTCACTCCGGACAAAGACGGGGACACAGCGGACGGTGCGGGGTGTGTCCCCGTCATAGCGGCGAGGCGCGGGACCGTCTGTGGCGAGGTGGGTCGCGTCCCCGGATTTTGTTCAACTCACGGTCCACCCCTCTATAAACAAAACAACTCTGTCTCACCTTACCTTAGCACACAGGCTCGACACAGGTGCGAACTGGCGCGTGCTAGTACTATCACCGGCACACCACCGGAGCCGCCTAAGCGACTCCGTTAAGAACGGCAATGCACTTAGCTCCGTGCACAATGCCGCTGTCCCCGCACGCTAGCTCGTTCACCGTCTGCCACGCCACGGCGGTGTGGAGAACGACAGACAAGCGCTGCATCTGCAGCCCGTGCCAGTTCTTGGTGGTCCATGTGACCTCAGCGAGGTGCTGAGCGTGCGAAAGTTTGTTACTCAGCTGGTCCGCCGCCTGCCGAAGAATTTTGCGGACGCCGTCCCCGAAGCCGCCGAACGTCTCGAAGTCGAGCAAACGCAGGTCGCAATTCTTCTCCCGCGCGAACCGGTAGTCGCCCTTCTCGTAGCGGGCCGTCACAGGTGCCCCCGCCTCCGCCTCCCCCCCTCCCTCGCTCGCTCGTGTCGGGTCTCGCCCTGACTGACTGACTGAACGCCTGTTCCTACCTACCTCTCCCCGTCGCCTGGCTGAAGGCAAACCCGCGCCGTGACCCGTGCTCCGTGAGGCGTGAGCGCGTGACAAACACGAAACAGAAGGTCTTGGAAAGGTAAGGTAATTTTCTCCACCGACGCACGAAGTGGTGGGGCAAGGGGGGCAACCGAAACCCTGCATCTCCACACGACCACACCCGGACACGGGCAGGAGGCCCACGGCCATCTCCCCACGGCGCGCACGGGCACGGCATACCGTAACGGGGACGCACCGGACGCACCGCCCCCTAGCTCTACACTAGGAGATGTGGGTAAATCAACGGCATTGGCTTGAGAGCGATTGGCGCGCGTGTGCACGAAAAGAAATTCGTACGCCGCCGCGCCGGAGGTCCAAACATGTCAACATGCACAACATACCTCACTGCGCCGGTGCCCACGCCTCGACCTTCTTGGGCAGCAACTGGTTCGACTCGTCCTCGCCATGGCCGAGGTGGCCGCCTTCACCCTTGCCCCAGGTAAAGAAGGCGCTGTCGGCGGTGAGGGCGATGCTGTGGTATGCTCCAGCGGACGCAGCGACGACGCGCTGGCCAGCCAAGGCCTCGACCTTCTTCGGCACCAGCTGGCTCTGCGTGCCGCCGTGGGCCAGGACGCCAAAGAGTCCATGGCCCCAGCTCCAGACGGCGCCGTCGGTGGTCAGGGCGAGGCTGTGGTCGTCTCCAGCCGACACAGCGACGACGCGCCGCCCTGCAAAGGCCTCGACCTTCTTCGGCAGCAGCTGGCGCTGCTCGTCGCCGTGGCCCAGCTGGCCGTAGAGACCATAGCCCCAGCTCCAGACGGCGCCGTCAGCGGTGAGGGCGAGGCTGTGGCCGCTTCCCGCCGACACAGCGACGACCCGCCGACCAGCCAAGGCCTCGACCTGTCTAGGCGCCATTGTACGGCAGCCTCAGCTCCAGACAGCGCCGTCGGCGGTGATGGCGAGGCTGTCACCTCCAGCCGACACGGCAGCCGACACGGCGACGACACGCTGGCCAGCGAAGGCCTCGACCTTCTTGGGCAGCAGCTGCGTCTGCTCGTCGCCGTGGCCCAACTGACCTTGGCGTCCGTAGCCCCAGCTCCAGAGAGCGCCGTCGGCGGTGAGGGCGAGGCTGCAGTCGCCTCCAGCCGAAACAGCGACGACGCGCTGCCCAGCAAAGGCCTCGATCTTCTTGGGCAGCAGCTGGGCCTGCTGATCGCCGTGGCCTAATCGGCCGCCGTAACGAAAGCCCCAGCTCCAGACGGCGCCGTCGGCGGTGATGGCGAGGCTGTGCACGCCTCTAGCCGACACACTCACGGCGCGCTCGCCACCCAGCGTGGAAGAAGGGAGGCGGGTCGGCGTGTTGAGCCGCGTCACGCCCTCGCCGTGGCCAAGGAGGCCTGGAACCTCCTCAAGGACCACCACCTCCTCCTCCTCCTCCTCGTCTACCTCCTCGTCCGCTGAGCCGCACGACGAGAGCCGCCCCTCGCCGTCGATGAAGAGGCTGTGCCGTTCGCCCGCCGCCGCCCTCGCCGGCGGGTTGGACTCGCACAGCAGCGCAGCGAAGCACAGCCATCGCACGGCGCAGCTCTCGCTCTCTGGCTGCGCCGGCAGCTCGAAGCCGCGCTCTTGCGCCCACAAGCGGATGCCCTCAGCCGCGAGCGAGGCGTGGAAGAGCAGCGAGACGGCCGCGACGCGAGCGATGCCGGCGGGGTCGCAGCGAGAGAGGACGCGCACGAGGAGGTCCGTGGGGAGGTCGCGGAGGCGGGCGGGCGGCGGCGTGCTCGGCGAGGGTGTGGCGGAGGAGGCGGCGGCGAGGCAGCGCGAGCGGCGGCGCGTTGGGGTGGACATATATGTGAAAAGAAAAAATTCCGCTTTATGCACGGTGTGTGTGTGTGTGTGTGTGTGTGTGTGTGTGTGTGTGTGTGTGTGTGTGTGTGTGTGTGTGTGTGTGTGTGCACGGCCGGGGCGTGCCCGTTTTATTTATTTTATTTATGGGCGCGCCCGGTCCTCGAATTCTTTTTTCAGGATTCGGTCCAGGAAATAGCGCTTCGTGGCACTTGCATCGCGACAAGGTCACACGCGGACTCTCCAGCCTCTCAGCTCACCACCTCGCCGTCTCTGTCGCTCTCCTGGCCCAGGCCCATCAGTAGCAACCCTGAGCTGTCCCAGACCGCACTTACCTTGGGTCTGCAAGCTCACACCGGCTCGTGACCTCACGGAGAGGGCTCGAGATTGTCTCCGGTGGACCCCATCCGAGCCGATTGTGAGGGCTTTCCGGAGGTCACTATCGGCGCCACCGACCGTGAAATGTCCCGACCCACAGCCCTCATGCACCAGGCGCATGGATGTAGTCATAATATGTAGGCCTTCTCTCCCGAAGTTTGGAGCAATAGCCGCAAATAGTCTAGGGTACGATACTTGACACCCCCCGGCGAGCCTTCGTTTTTCGTGGCAAAGCTGCGGATCTCAGCTCGAGGTCCTCCGCTCGCGCCGGCCGCCCATGCGCTCGCGGGGCTCCCCGACGGCGCGGGCCTCTTGCCGATGGACCCAGCCGAGGTGCCCGACCAGTCGGAGTGGCGCCGACGCGCTGCGCGCGACCACCAGCCAGCTTTTCAGCGAGGCCGAGGACGGTGTGTCGAGAGAGTCGACAGTCCAAGTAGCAGCCGCTTTTTTTGCCTCTTTTTGAGCGCTGCTGCTGCACACCCTGCCCACCATACATAGCTGGGTGGCCACCTCTCGCGCACCGACTGAATCTACCGCACTGACCACTGTCACCCCCTCGGCCCCTCGCTCCCTGCCAACCCATCCACCTCGCCGAGCCCGAGATACGCCGAGGTGCTGCAGAATCGCGCGATCTCGGGCGTCGCGATCTCGGGCTGCGCCGCGCGATCTCGGGCGATCTCGCGCTGTCTCGGGCCCACGCCGCGCCGCTCCCCTCCCCCCCCCCTCACACACACGCGCGCACACCGCCGCCGCGCGCACGGCCAGTCTCCGCGCGGCCAGTCTCCTTACCGTATATGTGTTTAAACCGCGACCTGAGAGCGGCGAAAGAAAAAGAATTTTACACAAAACTGAGAAAAGAATTTCGCGACGTGATTTTCCCCTCCCTTCTTCTTTTTCGGGCGGGGACCTGTTCCTTTTTACCCACCTCACAGTAGAGGTGGCCGTTTTCTTCTCACATCTAAGCCCATGTAAATTAGGCGCGACAGGACACACACACACACACACACACCACACAACACACACTCACATCCACGCACTACACACACACACGTTCGAACGGCTGCGGCGCTCCTGCTCTGAGGCCACCCACAACAAGGCGTGCACCCTTGTATTTCCCCGCCCGCTCGCCGCTCCCTCGCCCCCAGCCTCTCAGACCGCCACCTGGTCGTGCAGCAGTCTCGCGAGGCCGCGGCCGCGCGGCGCTGCGACCGATCGCCGGCGCGGCCGGCGCAGCCTCCCCGACAGCCGGCGGAAAAGGCGGCGGCCGAGCCGGCCGAGCCGGCCAAGGCGGAGCAGCAGCCTCACCGGAAGCAGGATGAGCCAGTGCGTGGCGGGGCCGACGGTGACTTGGTACAGCGCGGGTAGGAGCAGCGAGAGGAGCAGCTGCAGCGCGAGCGCGGGCCCGCCGCCGCCAAGCGGGCCGTACAGCGAGAGGATCCACCGCTCGACGAAGCGGTTGTAAAAGAGGAGGAGGTAGCGGTGCGAGATGTAGCAGCCGAGCGTCGTCGAGCCCGCCAGCCGCAGCAGGCGCGGCGGCTTCCGCCCGGCGAGGGCGAAGCCGCAGGCGGCGGCGCAGAGGAGGACGGAGAGGGCGAGGAGGAGGAGGATGGCGAGGGCGGCGAGCAGGGGCGGCCCGTGGCCGTCGACCTGCTGCTGCAGCGACGGCAGGAGTGCGGCGCCGTAGCTGGTGGCGATGAGCAGCTCGACCAGCACAAAAGCGCACCCAAAGAGGGCGACGCGCCCGGCGCGGCTCGCGGGCGCGGCGAGGAGCGCGGTTCGGCGGAGCAGCGCAAAGGCGGGCCGGCCGTAGTAGAAGGTCCAAAAGTACTGCGCTGCAAAGGCGACGTAGTAGCGGTAGATCGCGTCGGACCACATGCCCCAGAGGTCGTCGTAGAGCAGGCCGCGAAAGAAGAAGGCCGAGGCGGCCGGGAGGGGCGATCCCGGAGCCGAGGCCGCCCCGGACCACCAGGCCGGGCTCCAGTCCGGCTTGTCGGCGCAGCGCCACGGCTCGAGGCAGCCCGTGCGGGGAGGCATCATCAGGGCCGCGGCGGTGACGAGGAGGCACTGTGCCAAGGGCGGCACGCGGCATAGCCGCAGCAGGACGAGTGCCGCCTTTGTGTAGAGCATCATCAGCAGGTACCACCTGTGGTCGCCCGTCCACACGTTGGTCCGCCCCTCGCAGCCCCCGGCGCCGACGGCCTCGCACGCCGCGTAGATGAGCGGGTCGAAGACGTACAGCATCATCAGGTAGCAGGCCAGCACGATCAGGTCGGGCTTGGAGAAGCGCGTCGCGCCCTCGTACCTCGCGTCGGCAAAGGCGGTGACCATCACGAAGCCGCTCATGTCCTTGTACCCGCCGAGCATGCGCAAGGGCACGTCGAGCCAGCCGAGCGCCGCGCGCTGCGGGCCAGGAAGCTGCCACAGCATCTTGGCCAGCGCGCCGCAAGCGCCGCCCGAGGTGGCGTCGGCGCAGCGGAGCATGTGGTCCGAGATGACGCCGTACATGAAGAGGGCGCGCAGCACGTCGCTCACGCCGTTCTCTGCCTCGAGCGCGCCGCCGGCCGCGGTGAGGCGACGCACGTTGCCGAGCGAGTCGGTCGACGTGCCCCCGCCTCCGCCTCCTCCGCCGAGCGTCTCCACCGTCGCGCCGAGGTCTGCCCCGCCACACGCCAGGCCTCCGAGGTCGGTCTTGCCGTTTGGCAGCGCGGGGAAGGCTGGAAGCGCGATAAGGCGCGACGGCACCATGTAGCGAGGTAGCCTCGCCTCGCAAAAGGACAGCACGCCGGCCGGGGGAGCATCGCCCGGAGGGAGTCGCACAAACGCGAGGAGCTCGTCGCCGCTCGCCACGACCGCCAGCTGCGAGAGCGGCGCCGCGGTGGCTTCGTCGCGATAGTCGCGCAGCACGGCCTCGACCGCCTCCAGCTCGATGCGGTGGCCGCGCACCTTCACCTGCCGGTCCATCCGACCGAGGAAGCGAAGGTCGCCGCCCCCGCTCCTCACGGCGAGGTCGCCCGTTCGGTACAGGAGCGGGCAGGGAGGCACCGCGCCATCGGACTGAAGGCACGGGTAGAGGGGCTGCTTGCGCGCCTCCGCCTCGGACCAGAGCGGGTTGGCGACAAACCTCGCCGAAGTGAGGTCGTCCCGCCTGAGGTAACCGCGAGCGACGCAGCAGCCAAACACAACCTCGCCCGGCACGCCGAGCGGCGCCGGCCGCAGCTCCGCGTCCATGACGAGGACGACGGTGTTTGAGATGGGCCTTCCGATGAGCGGCTCCGACGCCACCCCGTGCGGGCAGCGGTAGTGCGTCATCGACCCCTCGGTCGGGCCGTACACGTTGTCGATCGTCGCCTTCCCGCGCAGCGCCTCGTGGAAGCGGCCCACAGTGGCCGCGGACAGCGCCTCGCCGCAGCAGACAACCGAGCGCAGTTTGAGGCGGCGGCCGAGGCGAACGGAGGGGCGCATGCCAGCGCCTCCCCGGCCGCCCCGCAGCCTGGCCGCAGGCCGGCACGCCTTGGCGAGCGGCGCGAGGAGCGCGTCGACGTGGGACGGGATGAGGAAGGCGATGGTCGCGCCTGTGTTGATTGTGGGCCGGTCGTGAAGGTGTTCAACTGAGACGGGATGAGCGGAGGGGGGCGAGCATGCCGGTGGAGACGAGGGCGTCTGCGAAGAGGGAGGGCGAGCGCACGACGGGCGGCGGCGTGATGGCGAGGGTCGCCCCCGTCGCGAGGGTCCACCAGAGCTCCCACTCGGAGACGCCAAAGATGAACTGCGTCTTGAACGGGACCTGCTCACGGCGTATGGTGTCAAGAGACGCTGCTCACAGCCGTCCATGATGCCTCTAGGTCGGGCACCACGTCGCCGACTCCGATCCGGTAGGTGGACTGGAACCAGGCGGTGCGCATGAGCAGAGGCCCGTGCTCCACCATGACGCCCTTGGGCTTCCCCGTCGTTCCCGACGTGTACATGACGTACACGAGGTCGTCCGCTCCCGTTTGCAGCGGGCCCGCGCCCTCGGTGGGACCCGCCAGCCCGCCCGGCTCGTAAACCGTGACAGGGGAGAGCCCTGCGGCGGGGGAGAGCCGGCCAAAGGCGTCGACGAGGAAGACTGGGTGCGGCGCGGGGTGGTCCCCGTCGGGCGGAGAGAAGAGCGCCGCCATCTCCTCGGTCTGGACGAGCGCGAGGGCGGGCGTCGCCTGCTTGGAGCTGGGGCCGTGAATAAAGGGCTCCTTCTGGGCGTGCGCGAGGGCGGGCGTCGCAAACCTCCTCCGCAATCTCGCGCACCCTCGCGGCTGGGAAGTCGGGCTCCATCGGCAGGTACGCGCCGCCAGCGGTGAGCGTGCCGAGGAGAGCGACCACCATCTCGACGCCCCTGTCGAGGATAGTGGCGACCAGCCGCTGCGACGGCGAGAGCAGGCAGGTCGCCTCGAGTGCCGCGGCCAGCCTGCCGGCGCGAGCAGCGAGATATGGCCGAGCTCGAGCCGAGGTTGGCCGAGATGCAGCCGCGATTGTGTCTGAGGCGTGTAGCCGAGATGGCGAGCTCACCGTCCGACGCGAGCGGCGAGCTCCGCATACGTCACCGCCCCTCCGACCGCCACGCCTCCCGCCTGCTCGCCGACCGAGCGGAGGGCGACGGCGTCGGGGTGGCGCGCGGCGGCGCTGTAGAAGGCGGCGTGGACGGTGGCTGATTCGGCGGGTGGCGGCTCGAGCGCCGGCGTCTCGATTGCCGATGCCTCGAGCGCCTTGGCGCCGGCTAGCGCGGCCGGAAGCAGCGCGGGCAGCGGAAAGGCTGATTTTGTGCGGTTGCACGCGATGGTGACCTCGTGCGCCTCGGCCTCGCCCATCAGAGGGACGCCGCTCAGGCGCTCCTCGGCCGAAGCGAGGCAGCAGCGGCCGATTCGCTCGGCGAGGCGTGCGGCGGTGGCGGCGGAGATGTGGCTGGCCGCAAAATGCAAGGTCACAGCGCCGGCGGGGGGCACCTCGAGGACCACCAACGCGCCGGGGGAGCCGCAGCCGGCGAGAGGGGTGACGCGGAGGCCGAGCGGGTGCCGCGCAGTCCGCCACTCGGCAGGTCCGCATGCTGCGATCTCGTCGGCCCTCATCGCGTGCGGCCAGCCGGCGGAGAGCTGCCCCGCCGCGGCGAAGCAGAGGTCCCGAAGCGTCGCCTCGCCCTCGGCGAGCAAGCGGAGAGGCACACAGCCGCCCACGTCGCCGCCCTCGACCAGCACCGTCGCGTCTGGCTCGCAGCTGTGCACTGCCGCCACCCATGCAAGCGCCACAGCAGCGACCTCGAGCGGCTGGCAGCCGAGCGCCGCCGCGTGAGACCGCAGCGCCTCGGAGGACGCCTCCGAGAGGGGCAGGCTGTCCCATCTGCCCTCCAAAACCCCGGTCGCAGCCGAGGAGGTGAGCAGGTGTAGCGGCAGGGGGGCGGAGGGGGCGCCGCGGAGAGCGTCGCTCCACACCGCGGCCGCCCGGGCGACCGCGGGAGGCGCACTGGCAAGTGCCGGTGCTATCTGCGCCTCGGCGGAAGCAGCTGGCGAGCCGCGGGAGGTGCGGGCCAGCGCGAGGCCGACAGCTACAAAGTCGAGTATCGAGACGAGCGGGAGGAGCAGCAGCCACAGCAGCGCCCGCACCGCCGTCTCGACGGGCGGCGAGCCGTCCTCTTGCGCTCGGCGGACTGAGTCGAGGCAACAAGCGGCACCGACGCCGCCCCACGCCAGGCCGAGTGCGAGCCGAGAGGCAGCGTCGAGCTCCACGGCGGCAGCGCGGAGCAGCAGGCCCGCGAGCGGCATCGCCGAGGCGAGGAAGCAGGAGCAGAGGCGGGCGGCCTGGCCGGCGCGCCTTAGCAGCGAAAGCTTGCGGCACGCCTCCCACTGCTCCGCATGCACGTCAGAGCGCGACCGCACCGCCAGCAAAACGTCCTCCGCGGGCGGCGCACGCGCCCACGTCAGCTGCTGCTCCTCGAGCCACGCCGTCGCCTCGTCGGTTGCATGGGCATCGGCGCTACCCTTGGAGCTCTCGCCGTCAGCCTTGCAGCTCGAAGCGGGGGCGGGGCGGCGCAGCGCGATGCTCCACGCTCGCCGCGTTGCTGCGTCCAAGGCGTGTCGGCCGTCGGCGCCGAGGAGGCTGCTCGCAAGGGCGCTAAGGATGGCGGGCGCGGCGAGAGAGAGAGAGAGCCACAGGAGCTGTGGCGAATCGCCGAGCGAGCTTTCTCCGTCACCACCCTCGCCACTGCCAGCGTCGTCGAGCAGCCACACCGCGGTGGCGTCGGCGATGGCGTCGGCGCTGCCGTCGGTGGCAGCTTCGACGGTGGCGCCGGCATCGGCAGTGCTGGAGGCGTGCGGCGCAAGGGCGGCGCCAAAGGCGACCACGACGGCGCAGACGAGCGCCGTCGCGGTCATGCGTCGCTCGGCCGAGGACACCGGCTCTAGGCGAGGCGCGACGAGGGCGGAGAGGAGGCGGCGGGTGGGCTCGGTGGCGGCGGGGCGGAGCGCCCCCTCGAGCAGCGCGACCGCGGCCGCCCAAAAGAGAGCAAAGGCGCCTGTTGGCTGGTCTCTGGCGACCGTCCTTGCGAGCCGCCAGGCGGGCTGCGCGGCGAGGAGGATGGAGAGCCAGCAGTCGAGGGTAGGTGCGGCGGGCGGCGGCGGCGCGAGGAGGAGGGTGGCGGCGCAGAGGGGCAGCGCCAGGCCAGTCTGAGCCCACCGCTCGGTGAGCGGCGGGAGGCGGTCGAGGGCGAAAGCGGCGGCGAACGTGGAGGCGGCGGCGAGGGCGAGGGCGGCGGCGTGGCGGATCGGACCGGCGGGCGTGGCGCCTCGGCACCGCTGCACTTCGTGCAGCACCGTTCCGGCGGCGAGGGCGGGCAGGCCCGGCCCAAGGAGGAGCGCGAGGGCGAGCGAGCCGAACGGCAGAGCCAGAGGGGAGGCTCCCGCCTCGATGGCGGCGTGCCAGAAGGTCGCGGCGAGGGATAGGGCGAGGGTGGCGGCGAAGGCGGATTTCGAGCGCAGTCGTCCGACGAGGGAGGCGGCGAGCGCGCCTCCAAAAGTTGCCGAGCCGTACAGCCAGCTGGGTCCGTTGGCGAGGTTGGCCTGACGGAGCTGCGGGTGGAGGGCGTCTGCCGCAAAGGGAAACATGAGGACGTACTGGCCAGTCGGCACGAAGCCGGAGGCGGCGGCGATGAGTAGCGAAGAGAGGGCGGCCACCTCAAACGCGGGCAGAGAGGTGGCGACCGCCTCTCGCAGCCGGGCAGAGGCGCCGGCCCGCCGGCCCGAGGCGGCGGCGGCAAAGCCGGCGAGGAGGAGGAGGGAAGAGGAGGCGAGTGGGCCGAGGGAGGCGAGCCGGCGCAGGAGCCACGGAAAGGGGTAGCCGCGGCTGCTGCAGAGGCCGCACGAGGCTGGGCAGGCGGAGGCGAGCAGCGAGCGCTGGGCGGGAGTCTCGACGCCCCACCCGCCCTCCGAGCAGTCAAAGTTGGCCCACTCCGTGCACTGCAGCGGGCGAGGAGGGAGGCGTCGGGTCGGTGGACTGCTGGGCTGAGGTGGTGGGGCGGGGCTGCAGCGAGCGCTGGGCCGGAGGTCGGTGGAGCGCGGGCGGTGCAATCGCAAGAGGGAGGCGGCACCTGCCAGCCAGAGAGCTGGGCGATATCTGTAGGGCTGGCGTGGTCGTAGCATGATTCGAGGTCGTCGTTGACGATCGCGTGGAGCGCGACGAGGAGCACGGCGGCGAGGCGGAGCGTGGCGAGCGACATATCGTGTGTATTGTGGTGGATGAAGCAGGCTGCGTCCCTCTGCTGCCGGTGTGTTCTCGAGGTTCTCGAGGTGGATATCCTTTGGCCGCGTTGGGTAGCGAGGATTGGTGTAACCCGAGCCACGGAGGCGTGTTTTCTGACGGCCGACCGTCAGTGCACGGAGTTGCCCCTTCTCCGACTGCCCCGGCTAGTTCACGAGTTTCAAGTTGTTTGGTATTGCTAAAAGAGAGAGAATTCTTGATACGAAACCACGACGACACACACCAGTCGACTCGCATCGGTTGCCTCCATGAACGGCGGAGCTATTCTCGCGTCCACACCACACCTGGCTCCAACGTGGACACGCCCATAGCTGGGGACACTACTAGGTCACGCATGGCATCAGAAGTTTTATCTCTGGGCCCCGAAGGCATCTCTAGCAGCGTCGTTACGCATGCACCCTCCCCTCCTGGGCGCATACGCCTCACGTCTCGACAGAGCATAAGCCCTTGGTGTGCCACGAGACGAGTTCTTCGCCATCGCAGCGAGCAGCAAGCCACTCGCCGCAGCAGCCGGAGGCATCGCCACGGCACTGGCTGCGCCGCGGTCCCGCACCCGTCGGCGACGCTCCCCCCGCGGAAGACCGCGCGTAGCGACGCCTTGACGATCGAGATGAGCGCGCTTGAAGCTCGCCCACCTACTGCCCCTGAGAGTTGGTTATCGAGTGGGCTCAGCTCCCCCCCTTGGGATCGAAGCTTCCACGACCTCGCACCCAACACCACAGGCGGGATCAGAGAGAGACTCCGCACCGGACACCGCCCGGGCACAGACCCCCTACCCGTCGGACAATGCCTGGACCCCTCACAGAGCGGCCCACACACAGATCACGCATCGGCAGATTTCACGCCTGGATCAGGCGTAGACAGCACACACTGGTCACGGTTGCATAGCCCTGCCGGGGGGGACGAGTTCGCAAGGTTAATATTAAAAGCATACAAAGTGGTGACAACCACTGAGTTCTCAGTGGACGAACGAGCGTCGACTGAACAGAAGGTGGGTGTGCAAAACACCGGGTCGGCGCCAGGCTTAGACAGCCAGTCGCACGACGGTCGACTGGTCACAGTCTCATCACGAACACGTTCTAGTCGTTCCCCTTCCTCGTAGCTTGCATCGCTGCTCGCCTCACTCCAGTTGCTCCTCCTCGTCGACCCCTGCTTCGTTTAGCCTGATTAACGTCACTCGGCCTTGGCCCACTGAAACGCTCCCCTCGCAAGTCCACCGTCGTCCACCCCATGAACTTGTCGATCTCCTCGCTGCCCACGCCCTCGTTCCCCATGTACTCCAGCATAAGCTCGTCGTCCTCCTCACCATAGCTCCCTCCTCCCACCATGTCTCCTCTCGACTCCCCTCTATCGATCCCACTCTGCCCGCTGCTCCCCG